TTTAATGGAATATTGTTAATTGATGATGATTATGCAATAACCCCAGCGGATTTACATAAACTTTAGCTAGTTTTTACAAGTCACATTTAATTGTAATTATTTCGCGATGTAGATTTGAAAAGATGAATAGAAGAAGAAGAAATCTGCTGGAATGAAATTAATTCATTAATGTTACAGGGCAAAACATATATGCAGCAATCTAACTTTCTATACAAGGCAATCACCATAATTAAGGACTACAAAAGGAAAACCAATATTTTCTATCAATACAAATCATATAACATATTCGACTTTCCAACACTCTCCCTCAAGTTGGAGAGTGGATGTCTTGCACACCCAACTTGCAAACCATAGGTATGAAGAACTCCTTTCCCAAAGCTTTGGTCAAGACATCAGCTAGTTGATTTGTAGAACTCACAAATCTTGTCTTCACAAAACCATCTTGAATCTTGTCTCTTATAAAATGACAATCCATCTCTATGTGTCTTGTACGTTTATGAAAAATAGGATTTGCTGCTATGTGTAATGTAGCCTTATTGTCACAATACAGTAAGGCAGTCTCTTGATGTAAAACCCCCAAGTCTCTGAGCAAATAACGAAGCCATGTCAATTCACAACAAGCTCCTGTCATTGCACAGTACTCTGCTTCGGCTGAAGAAAGGGAGACTGTTTTCTGTCGCTTCGATCTCTACGAAATTAGCAAGGGGCCTAGAAATGCACAGTACCCTGTAGTATACCTCCTCGTAAGTGGACAACCTGCCCAATCCGAGTCACAGTAGGCCCGCAGTCGAAGATCACTGGTTGAGGAGAAGAAAAGGCCTTGGCCAGGGGCAGATTTCAAATAACGCACAACTCGCAAAGCTGCTTCCCAATGATCCTTTCGAGGTTGATGCATAAACCTGCTCAATATATGGACAGAATACATAATATCCGGCCTTGAAACTGTAAGGTATATTAATCTCCCAACTAATCGCCTATATCGCTCTGGATCTTTGAGTGGCTCACCCTTATTAGATAGTTTTAAACCACGGTCCATGGGAGTGTCGATGGGAGCTGCTCCCAATAACCCTGCATACTTAATGATTTCCAATGCATGCTTTCGTTGAGAAATAAAAATGACATTCTTAGATGTAGAAATCTAAATGCCAAGAAAGTACTTCAAGTTACCAAGATCTTTAAGGCGAAATTTATTATGTAGGAACTTCTTGATATCGGTTATACTCACAGGATCATTGCCAGTAATTAAAATGTCATCAACATATATCAAAAGAGCAGTAAAGGACTTGCCTTGCTTCCTGATGAATAGAGAGTAACCAGCTTTTGATTGTACAAACCCAGCTGAACGGATGGCCTTGGAGAATTTAGCGAACCATTGGCGGGATGCTTGTTTCAACCCATATAATGACTTGTGGAGCGCGACAAACCAAGTGTTCCTCCCCCTATCGCCGAAGCCCTGGCGGCGGAGACATGTAGATTTCTTCGTGGAGGTCTCCATGGAGAAAAGCATTGTTAACATCGAGTTGATGAAGGGACCGGCTACGGGCAACAGCTAAAGCCAACAAACAACGAACAGAGATGATCTTGGCTGTTGGAGAAAAAGTATCCTGATAATCAATCCCCTCCAACTGAGCCCTCCAACTAAGTGAAACCTTTTGCCACAAGTCGCGCTTTGTACCGCTCAATGGATCCATCAGACTTAAGCTTGATCTTGTAAACCCAACGACAACCAATGGGAGACTTACCAGCCGGAAGAGGGGTGAGAGACCAAGTGCCATTGGCCTGAAGGGCCCGCAATTCGGAGCGCATTGCCTCCTGCCACGTCGGATGAGTGGCGGCCTTCGAATAAGAACTGGGTTATGTGACATTACCGAGTTGAGCAACAAAGGATCTATATGCAGTTGTATATCTGTGATAAGAAATATAATTGGCCAGTGGATAGCGTGTACCTTTGGTCAGACCTGGAATGGAGGAAGGCGATTGGCGGGAGTAAACGTTGGAGCAGACATAATCGTTGAGCGTTATTGGCGGAGTGGTGTGGCGGCTGGAACGGCGAATGGCTCGTGTGGTAGAGTGAGGCTTTCGGGTGAGGGTACAGGTGCCGAAGATGGTGGACCAGAGGTGACGGGGTCAATAGTAGTTTGTGTTGCAGGAGATGAAGGAACTGTGCGGTCGAGAGGGGGTGGAGAAGATTTGGGGGGAATTGGGTCGAAGGCTGAGTGAGTGAGGGAAAGTGAGTCAGAATGGGCCTGGAGAATGGGCCGACGGAGATGTATCAGAAATGGGCTGGACAAAGGCATATGGAAAAATATGTTCATGAAATCTTACATCCCAGCTAGTGAAAACTCTTTTAGACAATAGATCGAATAGTTTATATGCTTTTTGGCTAATGGGATAGCCGATGAAGACAGAAGGCATAGCACGATGATCAAATTTGTGATGAGAAGTGTGAACGTTAGTAGCATAAGCAAGATAACCAAACACACGGAGATGAGAGTAGGAGGGCGGTTTTGAATAAAGAAGTTCGAAAGGAGATTTGAAGGAGAGAACCAGTGAAGGTAACCGATTAATGATGTAGACAGCAGTAAGAGCACGTTCTCCCCAAAATTGTGAGGAGAGCTGAGCGTGAAATTTGAGAGCACGTGCCACCTATAGAATATGATGATGTTTGCGTTCCACAACCCCATTTTGTTGAGGGGTGTAAACACAAGAATGTTGAAAAATGACGCCGCTATTGTGGAAAAAGGAACGGAGTGAGATAAACTCCCCACCATTGTCACTTCGAAGAGTTTTGATGCGAGTTTCAAATTGAGTGAGTACATAGTTGAAGAAGCGTTTTAAAAGTAATTGTGCTTCATTCTTGTGACGCATTAAAAATATCCATGTGAAATGTGTATAATCATCAACAATGGTAAGAAAGTAATTTGTCCACGAATTGCACTGTAAGCTTCATTTAAACCTATTAAAAATTGCATCAATTTTTGCTGATCTGCCTGAGCTCCATGTACGATGTCTGAATAAGAAGCCAATTCATCCCATAAGCCCTTCAATTTGGTGTAATAAGCAGAGACAGAGAGCTGCTCTTGTCGAAGATAAGCAATATCTCACTGAATTTGAAGATGCGAGGCGCATTTTGAGAGAATTGCTCACGGAGGTCTTCCCAAACTTCATATGTAGTAAAGTAATAAATCATGCTGTCTGCGATTTCTAGGATGAGAGTATTGACGATCCAAGAATGAACCATGTCGTTACATCGCGACCAAGTTGCATAGCCTTCGGGTTCTGTCTTTTCTGAGGGAGCTTCGATAGAACCATTGACGAATCCAAGCTTGTTCTTGGAGTTCAAGGCTAGGGTCATAGTCCTTTTCCAACCTGAATAATTGTCTCCATTCAATGGCTTGGAAACTAAAACCAAACCTGGATGATCCGAGTGGTGAGTGAAGTAAGGATTTGAGATGTCAACCTTTAAAAAAGTTGGTACAGATTCTGAATTGGACAAGTCAGGAGAAGCAGCAGTGTTCCCGGAAGTAGGAGTTTCATTGTTGGTGGTAGAGATGTCAATGGGCCGGGGGCGAGCTCACGAGCCGAGCCGAGCCGGCTCAGCTCGTGGCTCGTCAATTTTTTATTTTTATTTTTTAGCTTTTCTTAGCTTTTTTTTTAATATTTTTTTAGTGTTTTTTTACGAGCCGAGCCGGGCTCGGCTTGCCTAGCGAGCCCGCCGCTCGGCTTGTGCTCAGGCTCGTCTTTTGACGAGCCCGAGNCGAGCCCGAGCGGCTCGTGGCTCGGTGGCAACGAGCTGAGCCCACGAGCCGACGAGCCAACTTGGCTTGATTGCCACCACTAGCTGGTGGCCATGATGATTGAAAGGCTGGGAAGGTCCTGCACGAGAGATTAGAGTGCAGCAACGAATCGTGGTCTCAACCTCGCTCTGATACCATGAAAAGATGAATAGAAGAAGAAGAAATCTGCTGGAATGAAATTAATTTATTAATGTTACAGTGCAAAACATATATACAGCAATCTAACTTTCTATACAAGGCAATCACCATAATTAAGGACTACAAAAGGAAAACCAATATTTTCTATCAATACAAATCATATAACATATTCGACTTTCCAACAAGAATCATACATAGAAAGGGAAAAAAATTTGCTTGATTGAATTTGTTCCCTTGTGACTGCAAGATACAGAATAAAATAAAATATTCACTAACAAAAGTCAAATTTTATTTCCTATTTTTCTTCAGGATGAAAAATTCGAGCAGTATATCAAGTGACTGCTTATCATAGCATTTCTAATATTTTCACTGCACAATTTGATACTCGTTTGGTATCAATAAGTGCTTTAGTCCTAGAGTGAGGCAGAAGCTAACGAGACAATCTTATTGAGGATCACAATGTAATGTTTCATAGTTTGATTTTGTTAATGCAGAAATTCTCGTCTATATTGCTTTTGAGGCTTGCATTCCAGAGTCTGGGAGTAGTGTATGGAGACTTGGGAACATCTCCATTGTATGTGTTCTACAATACTTTTCCCAATGGGATAAATGATACAGAGGATATTATTGGTGCTCTATCATTGATTATATATTCGCTTACGCTAATACCTCTCCTCAAGTACGTTTTCATAGTGTGTAGAGCAAATGACAGTGGTCAAGGTAAGCTGATGTCATGCTACAAAATCTTGCGATTATATATGCATATTTCAATTTAAGCAGGTTATGAGATTGTTACTTCTGACATATCATCATTGGTAGCCTTAATTATTTCTTGTAATGAATACTTTTGTCTCTTTGCCTGCGACTGCTTGTTATAAAACTGGTGACGTTAGTGCTAGTGGAAAGGCATTCTTTAATTGGCTGAGAAAGCACACTTTATTTCTTGTTTGTATAATGCAAGGACCAGTTAATGTATGGACTAGTAGGAAAATGCCTCAAATTTTGCCCCCAAGAATCCAACATCTGCATCTTGTATATACTTCAATGACTTGTGTTTCCAAATTTCACTCGTTTTTGTCTCTGGGTGTGCATATAGAAAGATGAAAATGAAAACAAAATTGACAGTTGGGACTTTATTCAGGGGGCACCTTTGCACTTTATTCATTACTTTGTCGACATGCTAAAGTCAAAACGATCCCCAACCAACACCGCACAGATGAGGAGCTGACAACTTACAGCCGTAGCACGTTCCACGAGCTTTCATTTGCGGCTAAAACCAAGAGATGGTTGGAGGCGAATACATTTAGAAAGAATGCCCTTCTTATACTAGTACTTGTTGGCACTTGCATGGTAGTTGGGGATGGAATTCTCACTCCTGCTATATCAGGTAATTTACATCTTTCACCAATTGTTTCCTTTATTCATGATTGTACATTTTCATGTTAATTTTCCAATTAGCTTGTATTGCATGGAAACATATATGCCTTCATTGGAGGCAGTCCTGTGTATGTAGTTGGAGATTGTAGTTTACGAGACGTTTCTTACTTTATATTTAAGGTAATATGTAAGCAATGCCACATTTCCTTTTCTCATTGATGCATGTGGCAATTGATGAAATTTGTTTACAGGTCTTCCCTTCAGAAAAGAACCAAAAAGAAAATAAGTTTTCCATTTTCTCCAACAATGGTAACAGATGCCAATATCTCGATCGATTGCAAAAAACTAACTCTAATTTCTTATTTTGGATCTATTTATAGGATTCACGGTTTGCAGTCCCAGCAACATAAATTGAATTCACCACGCTTTAGCTCCTGTTTGATGGGGATTAAAATCAGATTTTTAGTAGATTTTGATAAAAGTTGATGAAATATGTGGTTAAAATTAATTTTTGATTTTGCCTCAGATTAAAATCAAAATTTTAATTAATACCAAATAGGGGCTTAGTTTCTAATTTGGATGACAAACTATTTTGAAATCACAAACAACATATATTGCCAACATGTCTGAAATTTTATGGGTTCTTTAGCACAAGATGATAGTCTTTTTCAGCAATCTTAACAAGTTTCAAGGGGCTGTTCATGTGGTAATTTGCTGCCCCCACCCAACAGCAATTGGGATTTTGATTGTTGGCAACTTGCTTATTGACATTTAAAAAAATAAAAATTAAATTAAAATTAAATTCCTAAGAGGGAGTTTGAGTCATGCCACATTTATATTTTTAATTGGAAGCTTAGTAAATATTTCATTGTAATAAATGCATATGTGACTGGGCACAAGCTGATGCCTGATCTTAGAGCCCACAGTAGGGATCACAGAGTAGTATTGTGAATAGAATGATGCATAATTTGCTGAGTTCTCTTGCTCACATATGGCTCAAGTAATCCATGTATTCAAAATCAAATTCATTACAACCTTATACTTTGGAAATCAGGTGATATAGAATTGTATTAATTTTCCGGGCTTACTTATTTTTGTTTCCTTGTTTCCTAGTGAATGTGATTTTGTAGTATTTTGATGTTTCAATTCATTGTCACGTAATTTTTACCCAAAAATTTTCCTTAGTTCTTTCAGCTTCTGGTGGGATTAAGGTGGACCATCCGAAGATGAGTAATGGTACTTATCTACTCCTATAACTAATAATACCTATATTTCTTTCTGAAATACTCTAATTGTTTGTGATCTTTCACTGCAAGACTAAGTTTGTATCATTTGCTGCAGATGTTGTTGTGCTTGTTGCTGTAGTCATATTAGTAGGTTTATTTAGTATGCAACACTATGGTACGGATAAAGTTGGTTGGCTGTTTGCTCCAATTGTGCTGCTTTGGTTTCTCTTAATTGGAGGTATTGGCATCTTCAACATATGCAAATATGATAGTTCTGTTCTGAAAGCCTTTTCACCTGTTTATATATATCGATACTTCAAAAGAAGAGGAAAAGCTGGTTGGACCTCTCTTGGAGGAATCATGCTCAGTATCACAGGTCTCTCTCTCTCCAACCCCCAAAACCCCCCTCCTCAACTTGTGTCTTCTGAAGAGGTTCCTGGAACTCTTCATTAATTTTTAGAATCTCCCGGAAGCATGAATTATCAGATTCTGATTACTTCTCACTAATATTTACAGGGATAGAAGCACTTTTTGCTGATCTTGCCCACTTTCCTGTTTCGGCCGTACAGCTCGCTTTCACAGTAGTTGTGTTTCCTTGCCTTCTCTTGGCCTATTCTGGACAAGCAGCCTACCTCATGCAAAATAAGGATCATGTCACCAATGCATTTTATCGTTCTATACCAGGTTTGCCTGAGCACCCAATTTTTTTATTTCTAGCAAGCCTAAAAATTGCTTTGCTATCAGTTTCGAGTTCTAATATGGATTTTTATCAAGACTTGAGTTTTATTGGGAAGTATTATGTGTGGTTTTAGCAAATGTTCGAGGTTAGACAGTCTTTCTGAATCAACCAAATAGCGCTCCAAATTGAAATGGAGCATTTTTATGTTTGCTTGAACCTTTTTCCATTGTGGAAATAATCAAAATATCTAAAATCTCAAATCTCTAAAGCTAAGTGTTTCCAATAATCGTTCTTAAGTGTTGACAGTGGAATACTAGATCTTGATTTACAAACTTCTTTCTCAAATTAGAAGCATCTTCATCTAGATAATATTGATCAGCAAGAACTGTATGATGTTGATGCCTAAACCACCACATTGTTGCAACTCTGATAGAAATAAGCTTTTAAATTGCAGATGGCATATACTGGCCAATGTTCATAATTGCAACACTGGCTGCTGTTGTGGCTAGCCAGGCCACCATATCGGCTACTTTTTCAATAATCAAGCAGGCCCTTGCACTTGGCTGTTTTCCAAGAGTCAAAGTTGTACATACATCAAAGAAGTTCCTCGGACAGATATATATTCCCGATATGAATTGGATCCTTATGATTCTTTGTATCGCTGTCACTGCTGGATTCAGAAATCAAAGCCAAATTGGCAATGCTTATGGTAAGTTTCCAGTTTTAAACCTTCAGTACCTGATGTTGTTTTGATTTTAAGAGCTTTCCCCAAGAATCCTGCTATTCTTAAGGAGCTTTTCTTGAAATTACTTTCACAGTTTGTCTTCACATTCGAATGCTTCCCCACCCCCCCCCACCCCCCGAAAACTGAGGTTCATCTAGCTCAGCATTGTTTGAATCTCTTTTGAAGCCGCAACAATTACCACAAGGTTGTCCTGTATTGCATCCAGCTAGTTCCCTAGCTTGTTGAACTCCAAATCTGCTCTACTTAGCTGTCAGCAGGTTCCTTGCCACCTCTCTGTTACCTACACACTAGAACAACGTTAGAATGCTAGGCCGATGTACCAAGGGGTTGGTCCGCTGACTGTTTGCACTTCGACGGTCAAGTAAAATGCTCGAATATTGGGTGTGAGAGAAATAAGAAGACAGAGTTATGGCTTGGGTTGTGATATTGCATACCTTATAATGAGAAAGAAATGTGTACATGTAGAGAAAATATGGAGTGTGTTAGGTGAGAGTGGGCGTTGGTTAGATACCACAATCACCTCAGTTTTCTATCTAGTGTCTTTTCGGTGTCTATAACATGTCACAATCGGTCCACAGTAGTCTGTTGATCTATCTTAGGTTAGGATTAATACTATGCCATGGTTAGTTCAGCATATCCATTATAACTGCGAGTCTGGTCGGGTCAGAGGCTCAAAAAGAGTGCAAAGTCAAAAGTTGTGTTCCCGTGTCTTGCCACGTGTCCGTCGTATAAATTGGCTAATATTGCTAATTGATTTATTGAAACGCGTTCTCACATAATATAAATTTTTCGAAAACTATTATGATACCGCATATCTTTGGGAGCACAAACTATTGATTTGTAACATGATGTCTCATGCAACAACAGGTACAGCAGTTGTGATAGTAATGCTGGTGACCACCTTTCTCATGACATTAATAATGTTACTCGTTTGGCATTGTCATTGGATTCTTGTCCTGATTTTCACTGGCTTATCGCTGGCGGTGGAGTGTACATACTTTTCAGCAGTGCTTATCAAGGTCGATCAAGGTGGTTGGGTTCCCCTTGTGATTGCTGCAGCCTTTCTTGTCATCATGTATGTCTGGCACTATGGTACAGTCAAGAGATACGAATTTGAGATGCATAGTAAGGTCTCCATGGCTTGGATTCTAGGGCTAGGTCCCAGCTTAGGGCTGGTCCGAGTGCCAGGGATAGGACTCGTGTACACTGAGCTAGCAAGTGGGGTACCGCATATTTTTTCACACTTCATCACGAACCTACCAGCTATACATTCAGTTGTAGTCTTTGTGTGTGTGAAGTACCTTCCAGTTTACACAGTTTCCGAAGAAGAGAGGTTTCTTGTGAAACGAATGGGCCCAAAGAACTTTCACATGTTCCGTTGTGTTGCAAGGTATGGTTACAAAGACCTTCACAAAAAAGACGACGATTTTGAGAAAAAGATCTTTGAAAATCTCTTCACATTTGTTCGGCTGGAGGCTATGATGGAAGGGTGTTCTGATTCAGAAGAGTACAGCTTATATGGACAGCAAACACAGCGGTCTAGAGACTTCTTGCTGAAAGATAATGCTCACACTTCTACCTCTGATATTGACCTCACAATCTCAACAGTGGACTCAATCGTGCCTGCAAAATCTCCTCTGCATGCTAACGCGATCACATCATCAGGGCGAGAAAGCAGCCAAACAGAAGTCGAAGAATTGGAGTTTTTGACCAGTTGCAGAGATGCTGGCGTGGTGCATATACTTGGGAACACAGTGATTAGGGCAAGGAGAGATTCTGGAATTCTCAAGAAAATTGCCATTGATTATATATATGCATTTCTTAGAAAGATATGCAGGGAAAACAGTGTAATCTTTAATGTTCCACATGAAAGCCTTTTAAATGTAGGACAGATTTTCTCTGTGTGAAATTGTTGACAAAGGATTTATAAAATTGGTATTTTTGTCGTCTTAATGAAGATCGAGAAATTTGATGTGTTATCTTGTAATTCATTTTTTTTTTACTAGAGAATCTGTCAATTGTTCCAGTGCAACTAGGAAGATTATCTCAGAAAGACGAGTTTTACGAACCAAAAGACAAGCATCTTTCGGTCCTTCGGACAGCTTTTTCAGGCTCATTCCTTGTTAGATCGATTATACTTCATGAGGAAAAGAAAACATAGATGCATAAAGTATATATTCAGTATGGATGTTTAATGTTGTTCCTGTACCTGTCATATGTTGTTACAGTTTCTATTTAGTGAACTATAAATGAAATACACATATTTAGAAAGTTTGGTCAGAAGTATTGAATAGAATTCCCGCGTACCAAACTTGTACTGCTTCGCCATTTTTTTTTCTTGCATCCATATTCTGGGGGGCACATGTACCTATCTTTTAGTTTTGAAAGGACGAGAAGATTATTTTACCAGGATAAATCAATAAATAAACATATCTATATTATGATCTCAAATCATTTTATTCTACCATGACCTCGAAGCAAATATAGGCTTAAAAAAGTAATAATTTTCATTTATTGCACCAAACCATATGTCCAAAATCATTTTCTTATACACAAATCCATTAATGCACAATCGTGATGAGAACTCAATCTTGTGTACATGATACAGGATACTGTACAGAGTATACCAGTCATCTTAAGAAACTAAAGCAATTTATATATAGATATGAGTGTTTATATCATGTCATCATTTGGATAGCTGAGTCTGTGTTGCAAGGCCCTGTGGTCTAGTTATGCTCGCAGCAGACATTGTACGCAAGCGTCTAGCAATTTCAGGGAAGGATGGACGGAGCATTGGGTCTGGAGCCCAACATTGCTCCATAAGTAATCTCCATTCGGGATCACAGAAGCTTGGCACGGGTGGCCTCAATGTGTTATTTACTATACCACCTTCATACAAGGAAGAGAAACATTTTAGATTTCATGTTATTAATGTTCGTTTTGGTTTCTATTTTTTTACATTATATCGTTGATAAGATGATGGTTCGCAATAAATGAATTCACGTGCAGAATTTTAATAATTTCAGTGGAAAACCATTATGACATCGATATGCTGGTTACTAGCTTTACTTAGAAACTGGGATCAAAGTGCAATTAAGAAACAGAAAGGAAGATTAAGAGATTAACATGACATGACAGATATTTGATGAGCAAGCCAAGAAGGAACAAACCTATGATTGCTCCATAATGCATATTGGCATAAGGTTCTTCACCAGTAAGAATTTCCCAAAGTACAATCCCAAAGGAGAAGACATCAACCTGCAAAATGAAAGCCATAACCAATTTATGAAGAAACCATCTTCCTGTTGTATATTTTCTTCTCGTCTTTATATTAAGGGCCTCAAATATTTAACAATATGGTTTCCTTTTCTCTAGGAAATTCATGATTCAGAAACTCCTTATTACATTTGGTAAGAGAAGACGAGAAAAGAGAACTATATGGCTGA